TGCCTCTCTCTGCAATGGGGGAAGCGATTTATGGGGATAGGGGTGGATTTATGGGGATAGGGGAGTGATGTCCCCTTTGGGTGCTGCCTCTCCTGCCCGGGATGGGTACTGGGGGTCCCTGATGCACCCCATCTCTGCCCCCCCCCAGCTGGGTAGAGGCCTGCCTGGGTGAGGAGCTGCCCCCTCCCACGGAGCTGGAGGAGAACCTGCGCAATGGGGTGGTGCTGGCCAAGCTGGGCCACTACTTCGCCCCCGATGTGGTCCCCCTGAGGAAGATCTACGACCGCGAGCAGGCGCGGTACAAGGTGAGATTGGAGGGGGGCTTTAGGGGGTACCCCAAAACTTGCAGGGACCTGTAATCACCAGAATGCAAACTGGGAGGGGGGACAATTTAACAGCAGAGCTGCAAACGGGGGTCTCTGACTGCACTGCCCTTGGGGTGCTCACAGGTTTTGGCTCCATCTTTAACCTCATGCCCTAAGGGAGAAGGGGGACCCCTGGGGTGGGAGAAAGGGGGGATTCACCCTGACCTCCTCCCCTTTTTCTCTCTTCCAGGCAGCTGGGCTGCACTTTCGGCACACAGACAACATCAACTACTGGCGGGAGGCCATGAGCCACGTGGGGCTTCCCTCGGTAACGTGTCCCCCCACCCCTGGACACCGTTGTCCCCTTAGACCACGTCGGTGGCATCTCCACTCGAGCCGTCTCTTGCCTTGACAGATCTTCCACCCGGAGACCACCGACATCTACGACAAGAAGAACATGCCCCGAGTGGTTTACTGCATCCACGCACTCAGGTGGGTGACCCTGGCCCGGCCCCGGGGCCAAGACTGGGCATGGTTGGTGTTTGTGCTCATGGTGGCATCACCTCCAAGGCTGGGGTGACAGTGACTGCGTGGTCATGGTGTGTGTCTCCTTCTCCTTCCAGTTTGTACCTCTTCAAGCTGGGCTTGGCTCCTCAGATCCAGGACCTGTACGGGAAGGTGGACTTCACGGGTACGGCACCGTGTGGGGGAACCTGAGCTGGGGGTTTGGTCAGCAACACTTTTGGATGGGGACAATGAATCTGGGATGGTTTGGGTTGGAAGGAACCTTAGAGCATCCAGTCCAACCCCATGCCATGGGGGTCAATGAAGACCCCCAAAGCTGCTGTGGTGATGCTCGCCCCAGTGCGGGTGTTTCCTGCCCCCCCCTGGTTTGGCAGGGGAACAGGGTGGGGGTCTCCAGCACTGGACCCTGGTGCTGAGCGGTGCTGGCTCTGCTCTGCTGCAGAGGAGGAGATCAACAACATGAAGCGGGAGCTGGAGAAGTACGGCCTGCAGCTGCCTGCCTTCAGCAAGATCGGGGGCATCCTGGCCAACGAGCTCTCAGTGGATGAAGCCGCAGGTGAGGGGTGCCTGGGGATTGGAATCCATGCTGGGCATCGGCCTATGGCAGGATCTTAACCCCAGACATCAGATCTGGGGCTAACAATGGGGTCAGTGTCTTGGAGGGTCGGCGCTCTGGGATGCAGCGGAGGCTCCTGGTTGATCTTCAGGCCCATGTGTGGCTCCAAGGGCTGGCACAGCCCCTTCCCAGCCAGTGCCACCTGGGGTTTCACATCACAGAGCCATTAAGGTTGGCCAAGGCCTCCAAGATCCTCAAGTCCAACCACCAACCCACCCCTACCATGGCCACTAAACCCATTAAATGGGCTTGTAGAGACACAGACACTTCCAAGGCACTGGAGACTGGTGGCTGGGTTCCCACCATCATGCGTGGCTTTGTCCCACCCCACTCAGGGCCACAGCGGGTGGTGGAATGGTTTTGGTTGGAAAAGACCTTTAAGATTGAGTCCAACTATGGATCCAGCCCTACTGAGTCCGCCAAGTCCAAGGACGTGGCCCAATGCAGCTCCCCATGCGCCATCTCACTCCTCCTTCCCACCTCACCCCCAGTCCACGCTGCGGTGTTGGCCATCAACGAAGCGGTGGAGCAGGGGGTGGCGGCGCAGACCATGGTGGCCCTGCGCAACCCCAGCGCGATGCTCCTCGACCTCCGCGAGGCCTTGGCTGGAGCCTACCAGGAGGTGCTGCACCGGGCCAAGATGGAGAAGGGCAGCAACGCCAGGAACAGGGTGAGGAGGGCATGGAGGGGGGGTCCCTGGAGGGCTGAGAGAGGGGCAGCCCCTTTGCTGATGCTGCTGCTGTGGTGGTGGTGGTGATGGGTGCTTCCAGCTGGAGGGATCCCTCTTGGTTGGAGACCAAAAAACAACCAGGGACCCCAAAAAACTCCCCAGGGAGATGGGGGAAAAGCAGTGGAGAAATGGTTTGGTTTTGGGGTTGGGTTGATGCAAAGGCTTTGGGGGCTGGGTTGGATTGTTCCCCAAGGGCCTTTGGGGTTGGGTTGACCTGAGGGCCCTTTCAGGGCTAGGTCAGAACCCAAGGGCTTTGGGGCTTGGGTTGACCCAAGGGCTTTTGGGGGCTGGGTTGGTTGATGCAAGGACTTTGGGGTTGGTTTGGGTTTGGTTGGTCCTCAAGGGCTTTTGGTGTTGGGTTGACCTGCGGG